GTAAATATATATATACATGTGTGTCTATTATATCTAAAACATACACACCTGCACATGCATACACACACAGCATATAGAAATACATACATTACTAGGTATGTTTATACTCAGCGTTGATGTTCCCGGCAACGCTGACGCCCTCAACAGTGTTGTTTGGAATCGATGATTCATCAACAATATGTCCCCATTCCCGAAGAAGCGCAATACCCTTTGACACTTCACCACAAGTGTAGCAGACAACCGAGCCCCCGTACCCCTCATCTTCATGATTACTTTTAGAACATCTGATGCTATGCACATATTGATTGAATACTATTTTCTCCGCATACTATACAGTTTAGACACTTCTTACACGTGTATATCGATATTCCCGTGTTCCTATCATACACAACCTCCATGCAGTGCAATTGCAGACTCGGCATGTCTTAACATCTAGTTGATCGACATCAAGTGCACAAGCTATGCACTTAGGAGCTTCCAAAGCTTCCACCAATTGCATTGTATGTACAAAGATACGGGGCCTAGCGCCCAATCTCCTACCTCGACTAGCACTCATACTCCGTAACTATAGCTAACCTATATGTCTGCTATGTACACTTAAACAAACTGATCTACATGTACCTATCGCAGTTTGTAGCTGGTGAACGAACACTGCTATCGGAAAACTGTCTTCGTGACCTATAGACAGTTTTTCGCTGTCATCAAAACGCGTGCGTTATGTTTTAGAATTCATACGTTCTGACATCATAGAACATAAGTGAAATTAGGACACATGATAATCCGGATAGTATCCGGATTCCACAAATTAATTTTTGGGCCCAAAATTTGAAATCCGGATACCATCCGGATTTCAAAGAAACTGGTGATATGTATGTATTTAAACGCATGAAATAAATAAATAAATATAAGAAGCTTTTGCTTCTTTTTAAGTTTGCTTTAGCTTTTTTTTTTCCCTAAAAAGAAACAACCCAAAAAAACAACATTACCTTTTGTCGTTCCTCCTGATCTGATGGATAACCCGGTGGTTCGGGTAATTAATGTATAAATACAAAAACGTACCCAGATTCTAAATACGTATACTTATTTCTGTTTACAGGGTACCTAAAATTCTGAGGGGGTATTTATGCAAGCAACCCCCTCTTGTTATTTATATATAAATATAAATATTCCATTTTTAGATGAGAATACTACTAGCCCCTGTCGACTTTATTACTGAAAGCGTATTAAAAAGCTTTTCTAAGTCCCAGTCGACTTTACTACTGAAAGCGTAAGCTTTTCTAAGTCCCTGACAACTTTATCACCGATTTTTTGTCCGTCGCCAAAAAACGTCGGTGACGCTATTTGACCCATTTGTAGACCCCCTTGGAGTCCCCCTCCATTTCAGAAGGAAATACTCCACATTTGTTTGTATAAATTGGGGGGGTTTTTTTTAAACCAAAAAGGCCCAGAATTTTACCAATATTTCTATATATTTACGTGATTATGAAAAAAATGAATTCCCTCTCTGATTATGCGCTTTATCACCGATTTTTTGTCCGTCCCCAAAAATCGTCAGTGACGCCTTTGTTTCAGGGTGGAATGGGTTTTGCACATTTGAAACCCTATAAAAATAGTGAATAGGCCCGAATCAGATAATGTCTGGATATAAACAAGTAAGTTGCTCCTATAATTATGCGCTTTCAGTACCCGCGGCGTCCCAGCCGGGTTTTTTTACCGATATTTTTAAATGTTTGCTAAATAGCTGCCGCTGGTATCAAATCGTGGATTCTGATATTATTCATAAGCCTTTCTAAATTTCTTACTGGGTCTCAACTTTCAAGGGAAAAAAATGGCCCAATTTTATTTCCTTTATTTGGGGTGGGGCGGCTGGAAGTATTTCATCGACATACGTCATGACCGTGAGTTCCTTAACCTGGTGGTTCCAGATACACACGTCTGCCGCAGATTGTGTGAAGTTCGAATTGCGGAGGGTATCCCCGAGGTCGTGGTTCCAGATACGGCCTGCCTGTTTAAGGCTATAAAGGCCTCGATGGAGTTGAAAAACAGTGTTGGGGGGGGAATGTTGGAGTTCGATTGAACCTTTCGGCGGATACATAAACACTGGGGCGTCGAGTTTGCCATATAAAAACGCTGAGGTAACAGCAAAATGGTGTATCTGGTAGCCACGAAAGGCACACAGTGCGACGAATGTGCGTATGGCAGTAGCGGCGGCGGCTGGAGCGTAGGTGTCCGTATAACTGTCGCCGTACTCCTTTTCGTCTCCTCTTGCCACCATCCTAGCCTTGTAACGCGTCAGGCGGCTATGTTCGTCGTGTTTAAGTGCAAAGACATATTTACTGTGAATAATCTTCGCTGTGGTTGGCACTTCGGATATAGTGTAAAAATAGCGGGTTCCTAATAGTAGTTGGACATTTAACGTATATTATAAACGTATTTATTTATTAACGTTTATGCTTATAATACTGGAAAACGTTTAACGTATTGGA